AAAAAAATGATCTAATAAATTCAGTGAAAAGTTCTTTATCAAAACCAGCCCTTAGTTTACCCCATCAATTGATATTGCCCAGTGGTGCTAAAACAAGCCGTGCAATCATGTTCATAATCATGTTATTATATACATATATGGTACGTGTATGGACAGAGTCTGTTCATTCCCCATAAATGGTTTAATTTTTGTATCAACAATTGGTCCAATACCTGTTTGTACTTTGTAGAGCTACTTTATAGTTGGGAAAGTACTTTCGTTGGACCTGTAAATAGTTGCATTGAGGAATATTCATGAAAATTATATCCATACTTTGTGATCAAGCAGTCATCACATCCAGGTGAGATAGAAACGAAAGTGTTAACTTAAGCCCAAAAAAGTAGGTATCAATATTTTATGAATATCATTCAGCATGCTTTGTATTACTTTATGACATTAAATCCATGACAGTTAGTAGTGTTAGGGTTAATGTTAGTGTTGCTGCAAAATGACGCAATGTCTTTGTTGCCCTGTCAACTTTGTCACAGTTTCATAAGACTAGTGCAATTATCACACCCTTTTCCTTTTTTTCTTCAATGATTTTGAGTTTTTTACTTGAAAATTTCCTGAACTATCCATTTAACTTTATTTGATTTTAAAATGGGCTTTTCAAAGTCTAATAGATTGTTATAAAACATTATTTTGTTGAATTACAAAGTTATTTTCTATTGATTTTTGTTAAGTGATTAAACTGAACAATATATGTATGATTCAGTTGTATTTTTTCCTCAGACTATTGTCAAATAATTGTTTAAGGATTTTACCATGACTCACATTGTCTGTCTCAATAAAGCATTATTTTTCTTTATTTTATGTATGGCATTTGAAATTTGCTCATGTGTACAGTGTGATTCATTTAAATATTTTTCAAGTATTTAGGCAAGATTTCCTTTGGAAAGCATTATAAATGTCAGAACAAGGGCAACAAATTCGTGGTTTTTGATCATGCTTTTTTTAGAATTTTATTTTAAATATAAATTAATGAACTAAAATAAACCAAATTTTGGTCTAAAAGTTATTTACTTAGTAGAACTGGCCCTAGCTCCTCTTATTCTTTAGAGAAAAAAAGCTCTCCTCCCTCACACACCTTTTCTTAAAGAAAAGACACAACAAGACCTACAGAATCAAGTTTCATGTGAACAATACTACAAATTTTTTTAGAGTTTACTTAAAACAAGGTGGGATGGAGCAAAAACACATTTTGTTCGTCATTCATATAGCCCGAAATAATGGGGGTGGCCTCCTGCAAATACAAAGTTTTTCCTTACTGAAAATCTTCCGTTGAAAATTAGTAAGTACAGTTTTAAGAATGGTTTTCAGTGTGAGAAATAAGCTACCTTGTAGTGCCGTCTTTTAACATTACGAACCATATTTTGAATTTATTTGCCAGGCAGTGTTTTGTTATTTTTGTCATTAAATTTTGGCACTGTACATGGAATTATTTACTTCACAGATGGTTTTAGGTGCTCTTCAGATAGGGGGAGGCGACCAAGTGTAGCTTTGTTTTAATACTTTTTATGATTTTGGTCCTGCTTTTGCAGTAAAAGTTTGGAGATGAATGTTAGGGCCCAAAACCTGTGTATTGTTGTATCATTTTGTCACTCTTCCTTGTTTACATCATTAAAAGTTGTCTGTTCATCAGCTTTAACCGACTTGTTTTCTTTCAATTTATTGTCTGAGAGGGAATTTAAAAAATCTGCCCAACTGAAAACCAGGTTGAAGACTGAGATACATGATGTATGCGGACTACCTTACAGGCCACAAATAATAAATATTTTCCACGAGTTCTCAAAATTTGGTTTCTTATTTGTTATTCCTATTTATCATTGATAATATGTGTTACATGATAGCAAGTTGCGAGTGCAAATTTGAGATATGTAATAATGGTATATCCTAGTCAATGTTATTTGACCTCTTCTTTGAAATGAATAATATAATAAATTAACAGCATTCCAAGCTGGCTACATATGTATTAAACATGACACTATGGTACATTGAATGCCACACCATTGGTGACCAATAATTTTGACAATTATCGACATTTCTTTTATTTTCAAAGAATTTCCCCCTATTCTCTATTTGTGTTTAAGAAATCTTCAATTATTATTTTATTATAGGTCTACCTCACGACTTTGGAAAACTTAACAAATAAATGATATAAATAATAATTGGAGTGAAGGAAAGGTTAAAACTTTATAGGGTTCACCAAAGAGACTTATTTTTCTGGGGGCAACTGCCAGCTATATAGAATACGGACAACTTATTCAAGTTAGTAGTTAATTACCCCCAAACAGCTTTAGTAGGTGCGACAGACATTTAAGCCACTTAAGTCATGGAGATAGATCAATCCAAGGTAAGTATGATATCTCTGGGAATGGTCTCTAAAAGTCTCAGACAAATGCAAATAATTGGGTGCTATTAAACAATTTATTACTTTAACAAACAGATAACAAACTTAAAAAATAATTGGCTATGGCAAAAATACCTGCGTTTTGTAAATTAGTTCTACTTGTACATCATGCAATTTTACTTCAACTCAAGTCTACCTTTAACTTAACTATCAATATGCAACACAGTAAGAAAGCAGTATATAATTAAGAGAAGTCAATCTTACTTTAGACAAACGATTCATAATCAACATGTAAACAGTTTTGGTAAATTATCAGCACAGTATGTCTCTTATTTATAAATAATGGTATGTATGTGCATATAGTTCTTAATCACAGTAAGTGTTATTGAGGAATTTTGATCAGAAATAAAAGCGTTAATTTTTCCTTTCTTTGAAGCACAAAGTCTGTTGTGTAAACAAACCATCTTTACCAATTTCTAGAAACAAAATTTCATCTCAAAGTGGCATGTGTTGCACCTGCATCCCAGTAAGGCTATTGTGTGACATGTTGAGCAGACAGATCAAGCAATATAGCTAGTAAGATTGCATACCCAGTTCCTGTGGTTCCAAACTGGATCAGTGCAGTTAAATAGAATGTGGAGGTCAAGGCCATGGGCTAAATCAATGTCAAGACCATGACCTAAAATGATATCTAGGTCATGTGACAAAAACTAAGTTGTGTGTTGAATCTGGTTTCCCGATGCTACTGGCAATGTAAATTGGTCATTGTTACTTGTTTGCTGCTTTAAGTGAACCACCTGCACACTTTAAGCCTATACTGAGAAATCGGCTCCTGAAGTTGGTATTGTCACACAAAATGAATCTTTCATCCTGAGAAAGATGATGCTCATTGGCTGGTACGTTGTTGATCAATTTAATAAGTCACATGATAAACAAAGAACAAAAGGCTGAAATCCACGGCCTTTTCCCTCTCTTCAAATTCACATTCCTCAGTGCTGACCACCTTGGTATTGCTACCAATACGGACAGTTAACAAATGTCTCAAAATGCTGGTAGGTCTTCATTGTCTGAGGATTCTGTGTCACTGTCACTGAATATGTTCTCATCTATTATACGGGGCCTTGAAAGTGACCTCATGGGAACATGGCAAGGTGGCTCTTTAAATGCTCCATCACCAGGCTGAAAAAGAAAAATTTAATGTTTAACATAATAACAAGAAAAATGGTGTATATACTGAGAAGAGAAGAAATACTGTACCTTTAAAATGATTCTTTCTGTGAGATTAGAATGGAATTAGGGGTACAAGACAAAAAGGCTCAAATTTTAGTTGTGATGGAGTATTTGGGAGGATGCATACCAGACCTTCAAATATAGCCACACCCACCCTTCAATATTTGCTTTGCAAATTCATACTCACACTGTGAGTGTCACACCAGGCTTGGACAACTGGCAAAAATGTCCCTAAAAATAAGAAAGAACAAAATACACTGCATATACTATCTATTTTTCTTATTTTTTTTCTCAGAATTTAACATGCATTCATTTCCATTTCCTGTTTTTCCCTGTTCAAGGGCTTAGATATTGAGTTATTTTGTACAATTTTTTTCAGAAGGCTTTCCTTTACCTTGGGGCCCTTTGTCTGTGATATTTTCACTGTAAACATTTGATGGTGACTGTTGTTCTGCTTTCAAGATAAGACTTTTGCTACTGTCAGTATATCTGCTTTGCTGCATACCACAAGATGAGAAGCCTTGTTTCTGTGATGGAGATTTCTCTGCCTCTGATGTCTTTTGTTGTTGAAATGTTCTCATAAATTGTGAGGCATTTACAACATCACCTGAGGTTAACATCAAATAATTATATTATGTCATCGATCTGAACAAGGGGGTTAAGCTTCTAAGGCAGAAATATGTAAGTAGATTGATAATCGATTAATATCTTTGTCATTTTGTCTCTTTTGCACTAAAAATAATATATGCATGGAGTTACTACATATCTTGACTTTCTTTCTCTTATAGGTGCCCATAAAATATAGCACTGGTGCTTACCAGTAGTTTATACTAATGCCCAGTTTTAGAATGCCTTCAAGGACTCACCAAATTGGGGCTGAGTAAACTCCGTCAGCAGCTGTACTATATTATGGGAGCATTAGACCAAGATATGTAGTTACTCTATGCACACATTACTTAAAGCATACTTTGTTTTAAAGAGACATGCCACTAATCTACTCAACCTACTGTACCTCCGTCTTGGGAGCTCAACCCCTTTCATGAAATGTAAACCAAAAAGCATTACATATGTTGGACATATTTGGCACTTTACCAGCATAGTTATACTACTTCTGAATGACTTTTTTTTTGGAAGAAATTTAATTACTAATATTGCCAATACCCTCTCTCTGCATTAAGCACCACACATGCATGCTTACTTCCACAATAAAAGATGACCTCCTTAAACATTGGGTTTCTTTCCAGATTCTGCTTTTGTCCAACAAGCAGCAGATGGTGCTTAGCTCTGGTCAAGGCAACATTGGTTCTCCTGGAAACAGCAACAGAAACAGAGTAGGGCATTCGAACAGAAATATTCTATATTACAACTGCAGAGTTGACAGTGCCTATCCTCCATAGGTATTTTTGGTATCATAGTAGCTAATAGTGACTTACTTTTTGCAATCAATGAATGCTGTGTTGTTAGTTTTCACAAAGGATAGAATGATGACATCCTTCTCTCCTCCTTGAAAAGCATCCACTGTGGAAATCTGGACAGCACTGATTTTACTGGGCTCATTAATACTGAAACATAGAGTGTGTCCCGCCTGGTCAAGAACATTTTACATCTCTTTATAACAAAAACCTGAAATTGTGATTTTGTATTGAATTTTGATACAACAGTAACACATTTTGTAAACATTATTTGCATTAGGGTGAGAATATAAATGGGGAACAGAGGCCATACATGAAAATGTTTATCACTAACAAAAAGTACAGATTTTGCTTGTGAAGATATATTTATTACATGTATAACATATGACTGTCATTTCAATACCAATATGCTCCTCCCTTACCTGCTAGCCAACAAAATCTTCTTAATTTTAGCAACCTGAGACCTGAAAGGTGTAATAACCCCAATTTGTGCTGGCTTCAAGCCCTCAGACAGCAGCTTCTTAAGAAGAGATGCAACAAAGGCCTCCTCCTCCTTGTTATAAATGCTGTCCAGTCTGTCCCGAGCTTCCTGACCTTTCGAGACATCAATGAAGCACAGAGGTGGACAGGATTTCTGGAATACATACACAATTTTAGACACAATACATTATAATCCAGATTAATAATAACAAATTAAACATTTCTGAAATGCTGAAGATAGTTACTAGTTGAGCATTCTGAAAATATTTGGGAAAAAATCACTTTTGATCATGTGAAAAAATACTGTATTTAGACAAAACAATGAAAAACAGCTATTGTACAATATTGCATGCACTAATCAAAATTTTGAAAGCAGACATTTTGGAAACATCACCTTCATGAGTTTTAAACAAAAACTTTTTAACTGTACATGGAACACAGGCTACTATCAGGGATCCACGTACTTACACACTTTGCTTATTAATTTAAATAGAATAATGAAAGGAATATAAAAGATCATGAAGGGATGCAATCAATACCATTTTGAAGCAAAAACTACACTGGTATATCAGTGACCAGCAAGAATCACCACTGGCAATAAAGTAAATTACTACTTTGTATATGTGTTCCAAAAGGAGCAGTCTGTTAGATAACAGTATCTATTAAAGGCTCTTGGTGACTGCATGGTCTTATCTCCGTTTTTTGTGGTCATAAATGAGAGGTCAGCCTCCAAGTGATATGAGATTACCATTAAAGGTTCCCTGTCTTTTTCAGATACTCCATCCTTCAACAACCCACCATAGAACAAGGTACTGGCCATGGCACTTATCCTTGGATGACACCTATACTGTGTATGTAGCATTGTTGTCTCATGACCCTGAAAGAAAGAATGGACAATTTGGTAATTTTCCCCAAAAATTTAAACACCTTTAATTCTTATTCTGATATATTTAATCACAATTTCTAATATTTGAGTTCTTGCTGACAATGGTATACAGTGCTTACCGTCTTGAAAACAACTCATTTTTCAGAACTTTCACATAATTTTTTTAGTCTAAAAAAATAAGTATTGGTTTGAGAATTGATTGCTTAAATCTCCAGGCATTAAGTTCTTACGAGGACAAGCCCTAGTACTACTTAATACATACGTGTAGCTTACCATAGCCATGAGCCTGTCAAACATAGTCTGTTCTAGTCCATTTCCGTTGCTGGCTGCTGATCCTTGAATTATGGGGTTTAGTTGCTAAAACAGACAGAGGTATTATAGAACAGCAGCCAAGTTCACTGAAATATTCATACAAACTAGTGAAATGGTCAAGATTGATGTACTCATGTATGCTAGCATACAGAAACTCTCTTGGCAACTGGGATTTTTAACACTGTCACAAGATTCTGTGTAAGTGGAGTAGCTGAAGCATTAAAGGAATCTTGAGATGAAACAAAGGGCTAAAATTATCATTTTTGTGCCCAGAAGTCATTATTGATCAATTATAAAAAAAGTTAATATTTTATTAGTTGGAACAGTTTTTTTATGGATGCGAATCAAGTTCAAGATATGCCCATGTGGTGGCACAGCAATCAAGTAGGCTATTGAGTGATGTAAACAGAGGCAGCGTGTGAAGATTTTAGGTAGTTTATTACCCCCTTACAGCTTGTAGTAGGCGGGATGGACATTTAAGCCGTATTATCTGACAGTAATCTAGTGAGACTCCCCGCGGGGATAGATCGATCTAAAAGCTCTGGGAATAGAGCCTAATACAATTACTTACAGGGGTGAAAAGTGTTGTAGAAAGTTTCTCAGCAAATGTTAAGTGAAACTAGACAGGAAAGCTGGCAAATATACACCACGAAGAAAAAATCACTCTTGTTTTCAAAAGGAAACTGACTTTTCACCAAACAGGGTCACTAAAAAAAACTAAGTAAATAATAATAGTTTATATGTCGTAAGTTACATGGTGAACAACAGATGAGTTGGACAGGATGGGTAACTAGAGGATCAGAGAGGCGATACCGCCTCCGAATATTGTACCACCAGCTGGAGTAAGCGTATTTGTATGGAACCCTTCCCCCCCCCCCAAAAAAAAGGGACACCACCACCAGTCTTGTGCTTGACAAGCTATATAAAATGCAATCAACAAGAGTTCTCTAAATATGCAAAAAAATAAAAATGGTACAATCAAGCAGATTTTATAATTGACCTATTTTCCTACCATTGATCGCTTCTGTAATTCTCTAGACAAAAGGCCTATTGGTTTTCCTTGAAATGTGTTGTCAGTGGTGCATATACATGTATGCTGACAAAACAAAAAACCTAGGGGCAACACCGGGCACATCTCTGCTGGTTTTGAAGATATGAAGGGCAAAAAAATATACAAAGCTCAGTTCATGGTGAAAAAGCAGGTCAAAGGTCAATTTCAATATCATAGTATATGAATTTCTATTCAAGTTCAATAGCAACCATGGTCATTTCTTTGCCAATTTTGCAGATTTAAAGACCAGAAAGCATGCAAAGAGCAGTTCATAATAAAAAGTAGGTCAAAGGTCAATTTCAAGGTCACAGTTAGATTGCCAGTGTATTACTTCCTATTCAAGTTCAATAGTAACTATGGACCTATCTCTACCAGTTTTAGAGATAAAAGGGAACAAAAATTTGCAAAGTTCAGTTCATGGTAAAAAATAGGTCAAAGGTCAATTTTTAGGTCACAGAAAATTGCCAGTATATGACTTTCTATTCAAATTCAAAAGTAACCATGGATGTATCTTTGCCAATTTTGAAAGTACAAGCATTAAAAAAGTTGCAAAATTCAGTTTATGGTGTAAATAAGGTCAAAGGTCAATTTCAAGGTCACAGTAAGATTACCAGTATAAGACTTCCTATTCAACTTCAATAGTAACTATGGACCTATCTCTGGCAGTTTTGGAGATAAAAGGGAACCAAAATTTGCAAAGTTCAGTTCATGGTGAAAAGTAGGTCAAAGGTCAATTTTAAGGTCATAGTAAATTGCCTCTAATGTCTTTCTATTCGAATTCAATAGTAACTATACACGTATCTTTGCCAGCTTTGAAAGTATAAGCATAAAAAAAGTTGCAAAGTTCAGTTTATGGTGTAAAGTAGGTCAAAGGTCAATTTAAAGGTCACACTTAGATTGCCAGTATATGACTTTCTATTCAAGTAATATGGATCTATCTCTGCCAGTTTTGGAGATAAAAGGGAAAAAAATGTTGCAAAGTTCAGTTCATGGTGAAAAGTAGGTCAAAGGTCTATTTTAAGGTCACATTAAATTGCCTCTAATGACTTTCTATTCAAATTCAAGAGTAACTATGGACGTATCTTTGCCAGTTTTGAAGATAAAAGGGAACCAAAATTTGCAAAGTTCAATTCATGATGGAAAGTAGGTCAAAGGTCAAATTCAAGGTCACTGTTAGATTGCCAGTATATGACTTCCTATTCAAGTTCAATAGTAACTATAGACCTATCTCTGCCAGTTTTGGAGATAAAAGGGAACGAAAATTTGCAAAGTTCGGTTCATGGTGAAAAGTAGGTCAAAGGTCAATTTTAAGGTCACAGTAAATTGCCTCTAATGTCTTCCTATGCACGTTCAGTAGTAACTTTGGGCATTTCTTTGCCAGTTTTGGAGATATAAGGGACTTAAATGTTGCAAAGCTCAGTTCATGATGAAAAGTAGGTCAAAGGTCAATTTCAACGTCACAGTTAAATTGCCAGTATGTGACTTTCTATTCACTTTTAATAGTAACTATGGACCTATCTCTGCCAGTTTTGGAGATATTAGGGACTTAATGTTACAATTTTGGAGTTACAATAATGTGCCATAAATATCTTACAGAAAAAATTAATTTAAATAAAGAAAAGGTCATTTTGGTTGAAATTCTTGAAATGGGAGGTGCTCAGAAGTTCCAGATGTTCAAATTTTATGAAATAATTTCATTTTTGACCAGAAGTTGTGTGCCTCGCCAAGCCGTATGTTTTTATTTTCCCGGGGTTCAAAATTTATTATCCATTAGTACCGTACTGCACATTTTTCTTTCACCACCAAAATGTACTTTTTGATACAGCATAACTCGAAAACCATGGAATACAAAAAAATAGAGACCACCTCAGTGTTGGGCTTTACATGCTCTACAAAATGCAAAAAATAGTGGGTCTCTAGCATTAATGGTTCCCGAATTAGAGACAGTTTTCAGTTTCGGTATCTTATGGCCACTACTCCCGTGAAAATGCACCGATTGACCCCAAATTCATGGAGATGAAAGATGACCCGATGGGTAACACTTTCCAACAATATTATTGGTTAAGTCTGTGTAATTTCTGAATATCAGCGCAAATAATTTTTTATGTAAAAATTTTTTTTTTTTTTTTAAATTTTGGCCCGTTTGACCTTGAAATAAAGGTCAAATCTAAGGGCATATTTGAAATCTCCACATATGACTTTCGGATAGCCATCTGTAGAAAATTTTCCCATAATTCCTTCCGTAGGGTAGATAATCAGCATTGAGTGCCACACCTAGACCCCAATATCAAAGCCCAAATTTTACATGGAACGAGTTGAGATTATAGGTGACCTAAATCCAAGAGAGTGGCCTTATGTCCCACGCGGGACGAAGAGCAATGATGATGATGATGAAATCCAAGAGATGGGTATGGAGGCCCTTACCGTCTAGGAGGAGAAGCGGTAACGGTAACATGGCGGCGGAGCTGGCAGAACGATCCAGACGTGACTAAAACCATGTGTACCGCCAGCGCCTACGCTGGTGGTACAATAACACACACATGCACACAAAAATGTTTAGAATTCATACAGCCACATACAATGTCTACAAATAAAAAATATTGAAATTTATCTGACAATAAAATTCAAGGTCAAGGCTTCTTACTTTTGTATCTCCGACCAAAACTAATTTTTCACAGCCAAACTTCATTGGAATCAGTGTGGCTGGCTCTGTCAGTTGACTGGCTTCATCCAATATTAATACCTAAATAACATAATCATCAAATAATTGATGAATTGGACAAACATATAAGTACAAACTCATAAAAAAAAAATCCAGGTGATACAATCATATTAAGTTAAAGATGCAACATTAACATGTCATTCAAGAAATTACTATCATTATCAAAAACTATTTCTTGGAGAACTTTGAAATGTTAAAAATTAAGTGATTAATCAGGTGATGATGTACAAACAAACAGAATAAAAGAAGCTAACAACTTACAGGAAAGATCATGCCCTTCATCAAAGAAGATTCACCACATGTGGCACAGGTAGCGCCAACAACCCGTGCATAAAGTAATTTCTGCATGTAAAATGAAAAACATCTAACCAATTAAATAAGTTTATAGTTGAGACATAACAGCATCTACTTTTGTAATTATAACCTTTTTCTGAGGGTTTTATTCCAGAAGATGACTAAAATTAATTACTTAAAGCCTTCCAAGCCAGGAAGGGCACTTCACTTAAGAGATTTTTACAGAGGGTAGCCATCTATGGAGGTCATGTGGTCCAATGGCAATTATTGTGAAATATGGACTTCAAAAGAAGTTGTTATCCATTTAAGAACAGATTTTCATGACTTGATTTCTGGATATTGCAGACTCTTGTGCTGTGACCTGTATTATTTTCAAACTGTGTCAAAATGGCTAACTACTGAGGTTGGACAGGGCATGGTAAATAGAATTTTCTTTATGTGATTTTGATTAAGGCCATTGATATGTCAATAAATGTTTTACAATTTTTTATTATCCTCAGATTAGTTAAACAAGAAGCAATTCATATACTAAGAATGCATTCAAAATTCTGGCTTGGATTGCTTTAAAATTCCACTTAAACATTTGCTTAAAGTTTGAACACAAAAAGACATCACCCTTCTGTTTATTCCATGTTTCTGTATGGCCTCCTTGAGATATCTGATATGAAAATGAATTGCATCATGATATAAAATGAACAAACATTAAGAACTTAAAACTTTTCTTCTTTTGGAAAAATGTCAACTTAAATTGTTTCCCTTATTAAAGTATAAAAAATTATAACACTTATTCAGGATACAAAAATATTACAATTATAAAAGTATGATCTATATTAGAATACTAACTGTTTCTCTGAAGGTTTCTTGGCCCTTTTCAACATCCGTTCCAACTTCCTTAACTCTCCCTTCCTTCTACCAGTAGCACGTACACTGCAATATTCAGATCAAGCACAGAATTTTTGTGTTCAGTGAGTCAATACACAAGAAGATCACAACAGGCGTAACTGTGTTAGTTGAGACAATACACAAAAACGTCCAGATTACCACAGGCATAACCGTGTTAGTTAAGACAACGAACAAAATTATCCATATCATGACAGGCATTACTGTGATAGTTGAGACAATACACAAAAATATCCATATCATGACAGGCATTACTGTTTAACTCTGCCATAGCCGGTCCCAAGCCTGGTTGAGAAAGGAGGGTTGGGCATCGGGCCAGCAAACCGACCCCGTAAACACTCAACTGCTACAGAAACGGCAAACAATACACCAACTAATAACCGGCGCAAGGAAGATGACAGGGGACCTTTGGATTGCAGTATGAGGGCCAGGGAACAAAGCTGACAGGAAGTTTGTGGCCTGACGAGTCAGATTCTCAGTGTCAAAACCTTGACCAAAATTGGAACCTGGAATGTACGTACACTGTATCAATGTGGAAACTTGGCTCAAGTCATCAAGCAGGCAGAGATTTATGGATTGGACATTTTGGGCATCAGTGAAATGCATTGGAAGGAAAATGGAACAAGGCAGCAAAGCTGTCAAATGTACAGACAAAAAACAGAAAATAAAGATGCAAAATAGGTTATTTTGTCAATTTTGATGCAATAACAAATAATACTTATAATAGCACCGTCAGTCAACACCGAATATTAATCATGCACAACAGGTAACATGGTCAATAACAGGAGCAGATCCAGAGATATTTTCAGACAGTATTCCAAAGAATCTATGTTGATCCATCCTCCTTTTTAATGGTCTTCCAACAGAAACAAGGCAGCAATTTTTGATTATTATTGATTGATTATTGATCCAGATCACCACCAAAAACTAATCACTTCTAAGTATATCCCATTTCCAACCTACCATGAAAATTTCATAAAAATCGGTCCATAACTTTTTGAGTTATGTTTATGATTGATTTTTCATTATTGATTATTGATCCAGATCACCACCAAAAACTAATCACTTCTAAGTTAACCCATTTCTGACCTACCCTGAAAATTTCATCAAAATCGGTCCATAGCTTTTTGAGCTATGTTGATGATTGATATTTGATTATTGATTATTGATCCAGATCACCACCAAAAACTAAGCATCTCTTCCTTGGCCCACTTCTGACAGTTCCTAAAAATTTCATCAAAATCAGTCCATAACTTGTTGAGTTATGTTGATGACAAACAGGGGGAAAACATAACCTCCTTGGCAGAGGTAATAATGCTTATAATAGCAGTCAGTCAATAATGAATTTAAATCATGCACAACAGGTGACATCTTCAACTAGAGGATCAGAGAGGCGATACCGCCTCCGGATATTGTACCACCAGCTGGAGTAAGCGCATTCGTATGGAACCCCCCCCCAAAAAAAAAAAAAAAAAAAGGACACCACCACCAGTCTTGACAAGCTCTGTAAAATGCAATCAACAAGAGTTCTCAAAATATGCAAAAAAATATAACTAAAATTGGTACAATCAAGCAGACTTGCATTTTCCTACCATTGATCACTCCTGTGATTCTCTAGACAAAAGGCCTATTGGTTTTCCTTGAAATGTGTTCTCAGTGGTCCATATATGCTGAAAAAAGAGAAAACCTAGAGGCAACAACGGGCACATCTCTGCTAGTTTTGAAGATATGAGAGGCAAGAAAATATGCAAAGTTCAGTTCATGGTGAAAAAGTAGGTCAAAGGTCAATTAAAATGTCACAGTATATGACTTCCTATTCAAGTTCAATAGTAACCATGGGCCAAGTTGGAGATTTAAATGCCAGAAAACATGCAAAGTGCAGTTCATCATAAAAAGTAGGTCAAAGGTCAATTTCAAAGTCACAGTTAGATAGCCAGTGTATGACTTCCTATTCAAGTTCAACAGTAACTTTGGGCGTATCTCTGCCAGTTTCAGTTCATGGTGAAAACAAGGTCAAAGGTCAATTTTAGGGTCACAGATAGATTGCCAATATATGACTTCCTATTCAAGTTCAATAGTTACTATAGGTGTATCTCTGCCAGTTTTTGAGATTAAAGGGAAGAAAAATTTGCAAAGTTTAGTTCATGGTGAAAAGTAGGTCAAAGGTCAATTTAAAGGTCATACTTAGATTGCCAGTATATGTCTTTCTATACAAGTTTAAAAAAAAAAAAAAAACGTTGGGCCTATCTCTGCTAGTTTTGGAGATATAAGAGACTTAAATATTGCAAAGTTCAGTTCATGCATCAAGGTGTCAGAGTCTCCTACGAGCGCAGCCGAGAATTAATTACAGCTTTGGAAGTGACTGGCTCGCGCTGCCAGTTATTACGCTGTGGGTTATTCAGGGCACAGACCGTGATCACAAGATACCGCCAATAGATTTTTAAATTTTTAGATTTTTCATGTGAACGGACCCTAAGGGTCTAAATGCTACAATTTTTGAGTTACAATAATTTGCCATAAATTTCCTACAGAAGAAATTAATTTAAATAAAGAAAAGGTCATTTTGGTTGAAATTCTTGAAATGGGAGGTGCTCAGAAGTTCCAAATGTCATGAAATAATGTCATTTTTGACCAGATGTTGTCTGCCTCGCCAAGCCTTTTGTTATCTTTTCCAGACATTCAAATATTTTTGCATATTACCATATTGCACATTTTACTTTCAACAACACAATGTACTTTTTGATACAGCATAACATGTAAACTATATGGAAAACAAAAAAACGGACACCATACTCAGTGTTGGGCTTGACATGCTCTATCAAATGCAATAAACAAGAGGTCTCCATGCTCTATCAAATGCAATAAACAAGAGGTCTCCAGCATTAACGGTTCCAGAGTTAGAGAGAGTTTTCAGCATCTAATGGCCGCTGTTCCCATGAAAATGCACCGATTGACCCCAAACTCACGGAGATGAAAGATGACCTGAAGGGTAACACCTGCCAATAATATTATAGATTAAGTCTGTGTAGTTTCTGAATATCAGCGCAAATAATTTTTTTTTGTAAAAAAATTCATCTTTTAGAAAATTTTGTCCCGTTTGACTTTCAAATAAAGGTCAAGGTCAAATCCAAGGGAATATTTGAAATCTCCACATATGACTTTTGATCGGCCGTCTATAGAAATTTTTCCCATAATTCTTTCAGCATGGTAGATAATTAGCATTTAATTTTGCCAATTTTGGACAAGGGTGCATTGCAATGAGTGCCACACCTAGACCCCGACCGACGAAGCCTAAATTTTACGTGAATTGAGTTGAGATTATAGGTGACCTAAATCCAAGAGATGGGTACACAGGCCCTTGTTGTCTAGGAGGAGAAGCGGTAATAGTGACTTGGCGGCGGAGCCTCAGGAGCCGGCGGAACATACGGGTCAGGACTAAAACCATGTGTACCGCCAGCGCCTACGCTGGTGGTACAATTTAATTACAGTGACAGGTATAGTTCAATTCACATTCAAGTTTTTAGTGATGTTTGTTTTAGCTACAAAGCTGTCCCAATCTTGTGGTCGAAAAGCATCAAATTGCCCTAAAGTCACACACCTGTATGGCAACACTCGTTTAGAAATTTCAGGAGCACTTCCAACTCGAACAAAGTCTTTAAATCCATGTTCCAGCAGTCTGAAATATAAAAATAAATAAATATGATTAAGTTTTGAAATATGGTAAATATCTATCTAAAATAAGAAAAATGTGAAGTTGCTTACAATATGACCAATAAACTAGAGGATCAGAGAGGCGATACCGCCTCCGGATATTGTACCACCAGCTGGAATAAGCGCAATCGTATGGAAACCCCCCAAAAAAGGGACACCACCACCAGTCTTGTGCTTGACAAGCTCTATAAAATGCAATCAACAAGAGTTCTCAAAATATGCAAAAAAATATAGCTTAAATGGTACAATAAGCAGATTTTCAAATTGACCTACATTTTCCTAACATTGATCACTCCTGTGATTCTCTAGACAAAATAGGCCTATTGGTTTTCCTTGAAATATGTTGTCAGTGTTGCATATATGCTGACAAAAGAGAAAAAAAGGGCAAAACGGGGCACATCTTTGCTAGTTTTGAAGATATGAGAGGCAAGAAAATGTGCAAAGCTCAGTTAATGGTGAAAAAGTAGGTCAAAGGTCAATTTCAATATCACAGTATATAAATTTCTATTCAAGTTCAATAGCATTTCTTTGTCAATTTTGGAGATTTAAATGCCAGAAAACATGCAAAAAGCAGTTAATCATAAAAAAGTAGGTCAAAGGTCAATTTCAAGGTCAAAGTTAGATTGCCAGGGGTTTATCTTTGCAGGTATTTGAGATAAAAGGTATAGAAAATTTACAAAGATCAGTTCATGCTGAAAATTAGGTCAAAGGTTAATTTCAGGGTCACAGTTAGATTGCCAGTGTATGGCTTCCTATTCAAGTTTAATAGTAACCATGTGCATATCTTAGCCAGTTTTGGACNATTCATGATGAGAAGTAGGCCAAACGTCAATTACAAGGTCACACTTAGATTGCCAATATATAACTTCCTATTCAACTTCAATAGTAACTATAGACCTATCTCTGTCAGTTTTGGAGATAAAAGGGAACGGAAATTTGCAAAGTTCAGTTCATGGTGAAAAGTAGGTCAAAAGTCAATTTTAAGGTCACAGTTAAATTGCCTCTAATGACTTCCTATTCAATTTAAATAGTAACTATGGGTGTATCTTTGCCAGTTTTGAAAGTATAAACATTAAAAAAGTTGCAAAGTTCAGTTCATGGTGAAAAGTAGGTCGAAGGTAAATTTTAAGGTCACAGTTAAATTGCCTTTAATGACTTCCAATTCAATTTAAATAGTAACTATGGGTGTATCTTTGCCAGTTTTCAAAGTATAAACATTAAAAAAGTTGCAAAGTTCAGTTTATGGTGAAAAGTAGGTCGTAAGTGAATTTTATCACAGTTAGATTGCCAATATATGACTTCCTATTCAACTTCAATAGTAACTATGGACCTATCTCTGCCAGTTTTGGAGATATAAGGGACTAAATGTTACAATTTTGGAGTTACAATAATGTGCCATAAATTTCCTACAAAAAAAAATTAATTGAAATAAAGAAAAGGTCATTTTGGTTGAAATTCTTGAAATGGGAGGTGCTCAGAAGTTTCAGATGTTCCAATTTCATGAAAAAATGTCATTTTAGACCAGAGGTTGTCTGCCTCGCCAAGCTTTGTTATATTTTCCAGAGCTTCAAAATGTATTACATATTACTGTATTGCACATTTTGCTTTCACCACCACAATGTACTTTTTGATACAGCATAACTTGTAAATTGTATGGAAATCAGAAAAACAGAGACTACCCCCAGTGTTGGCCTTGACATGCTCTACAAAATGCAAAAAAGAATAGGTCTCTAGCATTAACGGTTCCCAAATTAGAGACAGTTTTCAGTTTCAGTATCTTATTGCCACTACTCCCGTGAAATGCACTGTTGACCCCAAACTTACGGAGATGAAAGATGATCTGAAGGGTAACACCTGCCAATAATATTATAGATTAAGTCTGTGTAGTTTCTGAATATCAGCGCAAATAATTTTTTTTTGTAAAAAAATTCATCTTTTAGAAAACTTTGTCCCGTTTGACTTTCAAATAAAGGTCAAAGGTCAAATCCAAGGGCATATTTGAAATCTCCACATATGACTTTCGGTCAGCCGTCTGTAGAAAATTTTCCCATAATTCCTTCAGTATGGTAGATAATTAACATTTAATTTTGCCAATTTTGGACAAGGGTACATTGCAATGAGTGCCACACCTAGACCCCAGCACCAATGAAGCTTAAATTTTGCGTGGAACGAGTTGAGATTATAGGTGACCTAAATCCAAGAGATGGGTACTCAGGCTCTTGTAGTCTAGGAGGAGAAGCGGTAACAGTGAAATGGCGACGGAGCCAGCAGAACAGGCGAGTCGGTACTAAAACCATGTGTACCACCAGCGCCTACGCTAGTGGTACAATAAAATCCTGTAGATATTAACTGATCATCAGTGTCCTATATCATATGCATACAAATTTTAAAAAATAATATAACACATTTTAGTAAACCTACCCTTCCAAAACCCTGTCAACAGCCACATTGGTAGCAGAAGAGATGAGGATCTTCCATCCTTGTTGAACAGACCTGCGATCACTCTCCTTAAACAGTTGGACTAAAAACTCAATTATCACTGCCACAGTGGAACTTTTACCCGAACCAAAGGCACCTGAGTCAAATACCATAACATAATGATAAAAGGATGGGATGTATTAGGATGCTTAAAAAAAATGTTGCTCATTTTAAAGTTTAAAAATGTCAATAGTTCTGCAGATATTGCAATGAAATTGGGTATATTTTAGGAAAATCTTTTCTATGAATGCTGAAAATTTCATGAATCCAGCCATCTCAGTTTTGCAGACCGAAAAAGTAAAAATCTTAAGTCACATCTGACAGGTGGCAATGTTTGACAACCAGTCAGGTGAAGACATGATTTTTGAATAGATAGAAGGCAGCTTTAAGTGGGAGATCAATACGATGGTTTTTAATGATAACAGCTAGGCGATCATAAGAGGCCAGTGCTAAAGAAAAAGGGGAATGGCAACAGGAGTATCAAACAATTTCCTGGAAAGAACTGGACTCCATAATCTATTTATTGGCTTGGAAAAAAGATTTAAGAAAGAACATTAGATGGGAAGAGCAGTGATAACATTAGATGGGAGGAGACAAAAAGTATTTTTCCCTGTGGAAGAAGAGGCTATGGGCAGTCTGTCAGCAAGATGAAGGCCACATTAATCATTTGACGATAAAAAAACCTGTCACTTCACCCTAAAAAGATCTATAAAAAAAAAAAAAGGCACACCATCCACCCCCCCCCCCTTCCCTAGTCGAATAATCTTTAAATTTTTATTCAATTTTTTTGTAGAACAAGATGCAGTTGTTTGTATGTAGATAACATATAGAAACACATCAAAGAAATTTTCATATTTAAAGCTTAATATTAAAATTTATAGGCTACTAGATTTAAAGCCAGGACAGCCACTCTTGAGAGCTACTAACTTAGATAAAATTAAAAAGAGAAAAAAAATCTATGTTATCAAGGTGATGCTATATAGGCTATGAGATTTAACTATTCTGAGAGTCAGTAGAGTTGGAAAATTCTATTCTGTGTCTTATTAAGCATATTTTGACATGCATGTCCTCACCATGGATAAGATGCACATGTCCTCCACCTGTGAATAGATTTGAAACACTCATTAGAGCTTCTGCCTGGTCAGTGTTGAGACCATACTTTTTGATGTAGAATGCAGCATATTCTTCCTGGAGTAAAATTAAAAGCTATTGAGTTGACGCATTTCAACTTTGTAAACAACTATAGCAAGGGACAGAAAAACTTAAGTTTCTTGATCTTGTAAATTAAGAAGCAGCTAGCTTAACCTAACATATGTATTGACAACCTATGTAAGTTCAAATATGAATATGAATATATATATATTATACAGGTATACTGAAATGCTGCCTTATGACAGCCCAACCCAGAATTTTAATATGTAAAAAAATTTAAGAAGATAAGACAATTAACCCACCGTTTAATAGAGGCATTATCTAGTCTTTTTATTGATAAAATTGTGCTACTCAATGATGTGATTAAATAGTACATTTGTTAAAACTGTTGATAACTGTGTAGATGAGAGAGATCAGTCGGAAAGCAGTATTAATTTTCACCCCACAAAAAATACTGCTATTTTGACGACAGCTCAAATAAGGAAATTCACCTTGTATTCTTGATGCTACAGCATTATCTCATAACATGAAAATGTTTATTGCTTCATTATCTAAGCATTTGGGGGAAAAAAGCCTAACATAAGAAACACTGTTAAGGCAATTAGTAATCATAATGAGTTTGAAACAATGCTTGTAAAGAATTGTGGTATTGCACATTTTTAACAATTTGAAAATGAATGAATAGGTTTGCACTGCCTTAGATTGTGAGGGAAAAGCTCACCAACTGACAAACATTTAACGAGGCCTGTCAAGTCTTTCAATCCCAGAAAATGATGAATACTTGGCAAAACTGAATCCACCTACTTACAGACTTCCAGTGCAATAATGTCTACCAATTATATTGTTTCTCCTCTTGAAGCATTTGATCCACTTGCCAAATCCAAATTCAAGGTCATGTTTAAATTTGCCCTTAACTTTCATTACCCAATCCATCTCTTCAATGAATTAAAATTTTGTGGACAATCTAGATACATGTATATGGACATCCTACTCAAAAAGACAAAGTGGTAAACAAAATGCAACAGGAAGCCACTTAAGCCAGTCATGCTAATTCAGTCTACGTCTTGAACGCACCACTTCTCTCCTTGTCAGTAGAAAACTTCTGTTTTGCTTCTTTTGGTTGTCCATGCTAAAAAGGAATAATTCTAATTTCAATCAACAAAACACACTTCATCATTTTTTATTACCAAATTGATCAATAATGAAGGAAGAAATTCCCTACAACCATTTTCATATTGGTTGGATAAATATAAATGTACGTGGACAAAGGATTCTTAAAATCATACCTGATAAGTCAAATCATCGTAGCTGTGAATTTTGTCCCATATAATATCTATCTATTAAAGTCTTGTACAATATTTTTCCCACATAAGAATCAAGCACACACCAACAGTGGAACCATCTCCTAATGTCCTTAACCTGGGGTTTAGAGCCAGGCTGACCAGCTTCTCCATGATCTAATCTCCATACATCCCCACCTGCTGTTTCTTAACTTCAGTAGCATTTCACTGTTACTCTCAGTAAAACATTTTTAGGCAAGTTTTACCTAGATCTTATGCCTTTCCTTAGAACCAGAAAATGTAGGTGACTGGATGGGTATAGATGTTTCTAGAGTCCGATAAGGGTGTACATATGGAGATTTAAATGTAAAGAAGCAGGTCATAGTATCAGACCTGTCACTTCAAATAAAAGTTTTTTACCTGTCAGCATCCCTGCTTAATAAATGTGGCAGTATAGGCACTTTCTGTGGACAGACATTTTTCTGTAGGTTGTAAAGACATACTATTTCATTCTTGAAATTGGCACCACGGATGGCATAGCACAAGGCTGTTTCATATAGAAGGAAAAAATAATAATTTATGAGCCAAATACAGAACAAAGAGGCAAAATTGTTAAAATTCACATAATGAAATTGCCAATATGTGAAAAAATTATGACAGTGCATAAAATAATATAACAATGTTTAAAGACATAAACACCAATACTATTGCTTATGTGGAAATATAGAAGAGGTATACAGCTTCAGGTAGATGGGAGTTAAAAGTCACATCTTGAAAATGCCAGTGTTTGAAAAATAAAATCAAAAGATTAAAAAGACAACATAACAAAAAATATTCCAATAAAGCTTTAATTCAAACTTATAATCTAGCTGTATTAACATGATATGAATAACCCCATTTATGATTGAGTTTCAGGGTAATAAGGCACTGTTATTCATCTAAAGCATTAATGCTGGCATTATATAAAATATTTTTTGTAAACTTATTTGCAATTATATTAAACAACATTTACCTGCATAATTATCACTGATTCCTAATTATGTAACACTGTTAATTTAGACTTTTACAAACTGAATTTGTCAGTGAGCTAAACTTATGGGAGTTTACAGGGAAATCTCAACATGTATTTTATGTAATCTCATTTAATGGCCGCTTGAAACTTAATTAGGCAAGTGACTTAATAGCCCTGAACTTAGCTAGTAATTACCCAACACTGACCACCAATTGTATCCAATTACCACCAAAGACTATTTGAAAAATGAAAATTTCAC